CCGAATCGTCTGGCCACTCACTCTCACACCAGTGTCTGTTTGAAGACGAGTGCTGATCTGATTTGCTGTGATGACACGATTTCTCAAGGCCAAGGTACGGATAAATCGATCCTGGGCTTGAGTTGTCGCCCTTGGTCGACCTGAGCGTGGTCTGTCCTGTACAGATTGTGTATCACGGTATCTGGACCATAGCCTGCTTATGACAGACTGAGAAACATTCATCGTCCGCGCCACAACCGCCTGTGTTGTGCCGATCTGTAGCATGCCAAGGGCACGTAACCTTTCATTTTGGGTAAGCCGACGCATATCAAAATTTGTTTTCTGGTCACTAAAACAATTAAACTGATGTTTCCACCCTGGAATTCAATGCCACAATGACTGTAACATTCAAAGTCAGAGTCGTGCAAATCTTGGGTTGGACCCCCATGATGATCCCAAGCATCACCTGCATTCCATGCGGTAGCTATTGGTGCGTTTGGGCGTCACATGTAACTGGAAATGTTTCTTCTGTTAGGTTCTATAGTGACTTTTTTCGTAGTCATTTGCATATTTTAGTATTATGCCCCCAAAATCAAATATCCCCTACTTTTTTTGAATAGTATATAAATAACAATAATCAATCGTTGTTTTGATGAAAAATGTTGTCAATTTTGCTTACTGATGCCCGATGCGTTCGGCTTTGCTGGGACTATCTCTTATCTCGAAACACGGAGGGTTGAGAGGTAAGGGTTGTTATCTATGTGTGGCGTATGCCCAAGTTCATTAGCCCAGTCGACACGTAAAAGTAGGATGTTAAACCCTCTTTCATTTCATTTCATTTCTCAAAAGGGATCCGGGGGCTAGCCGTAAGCTTGCACTACATGGTACAGTCTATTGTAAGTTTAAAGACTTAATACCACTCTTGTTGTAACTGAATAATATGTCCCAATCTTTATTCTGGTCAACAAATTGTACTATTTTACAATATTCCAATAATTGATGATACAAATTTCATCTTAACACACCTAATTTAAAAAATTGGAAAAATTCAACTAAATGATTTGAAAAGCCTGACGTAAAGCTTTTCAAATGTGACTTGGATTTAAAAATATTTTTGAACCCTTTAGACAAGTAAAATAGGATTTAATGGATAATTTACACAACAGGTAGGACACTAACACATCTAGTACTTAGAATAAGGCTATTTTTTTATTTTCTGGAGCTGTCAAGCCAGCAAGAGTGTTATTGTCCCTTTAATGAATGAAACTTGTTGAAATCTATTAAAATCTACTAAAACAAACAAATAAATGAATGAACAGACAGACAAGCAGGTTTTATCGGAAAACACCGTAAGTTGTGCCATATTGATCCCTACTGTACTTTTAACCTTATAAGTACAGGAGGACAGCACCACACATAAAGAATTATACAAAACAAGTCCGTGGACAAAACACACAATGTACACAGAAATTTCAAATAATAAAAAATTAAATGAAATTAAATGGGGTTTAACGTCCCACTGTTCTGTCTCGACTGTGCTAATGAAGACGGAAAAACAATAAAAAGCAAACGTATCAAATGATTGGTTCCGGGGGACGCGCTAGCCGTAAACATCCACTGTGCTGTACAGTCTCGGACCTGTGGTCATACAGGCATCAATCAAAATGAAAAGAAACTAAAAATAAGGTAAACAATCCAGGAAAAAAGGGCGAATATTTGCCATGATAGGCTATGTGCTACAAAAAATCTCAATGTCAGCACATTCAAAAAAATCCATTATAAGTAACCATGCAGTAAAAAGCCAAGTAAAATTAAATAATTTATGGTAGTAAAGACAAAAGAGGGTTCAAAGCATTATAACCCTGTGAAAACATGCGCAACACTCTAAACCACTCGGTGGCTCAGTGTATAAGGTGCTCGCGAATCAGCATATCTCGCGTTCGCTCCCCGTATTTGGCGAGAAGGTTCTTTAGATTTTTCTGTTTTCCTCTCTCTCCCCACCCATCCTTGTCAGTGGTGCAGGATGGAGGCCATGGCAGGGAACCGTGGGCTATAATTTCCCATGTACACATTGCCGTGGACGTAAAAGAAACCTTGACAGTCGGGATTCGAAATCGGAATCTATCGAGGTTTGCCGACTGGCTGACTCGCTAGTGTGGAGGTAGCGGGTTCGCTCCCGGTGTTGGCCGAGAAAGTTCATCGAGATTTTCCGAGTGGTGCATCACGGACGGCCTAACAAGGACAGCTGTCAAGTCGTTTGGATGGGACGAAAAACCTAGGTCCCGTGTACACATTGGCGTGCACGTAAAAGATCCCTTGGTAGTTGGAATTTTATATAAGAGTAGGCAGTAGCGCCGCTGTCCGGGCAAAATGTCCCCTGTAGCACACGACATGGTGTATACCCGTCTTCATTAACCCACCCTGTGCAGAACTCCATTTCATGTTATTTGCTATACATTATTGACAATGCCATGGTGGCTAATTTTGTCCTACACTTCATCGAACTTCAATGATCAAAAGTTCTGCATGTGAACATCTGTTTTTTGTGCCATCTGAGCGACTAGGCAACAATGTCCTCATCTGCACTACATTTTCACGTAAAAGATCCCTTGGCAGTTGGAATTCGATATAAGAGTAGGCGATAGTGCCGCTACCCGGGAAAAATTTCCCTCATAGCACACTGTATGGCGTATGCCCGTCTTCATTAGCCCAGTTTAGGAGCAGAACAGTAGGACGTTAAACCCCATTTCATTTCATTTTGCACTACATTTGCTACTATGACAAATTTGAATCGTTCTTGAAAGAGCTTGACGTTTTCCTCGGCAAATTCCGTGATACGAAACTGGTACACTTTAATTGCCTGAATACGCTGCCATGGTAATATTTTGTTGGTTAGCTATGTTTGGTCTCTATAAAAAAATTGCATTGAATATAGTAATTTTTATTTTGTGAATGAACACAAACACTCATATATATATATAGAAATGAAATGAAATGGGGTTTAACGTCCTACTGTTCTGCTCCTATACTGGGCTAATTCCATCTGCCAAGGGATCTTTTACATGCACGCCAATGTGTACATTCGAACGACTAGACAGCTGTACTTGTCAGGTCCTCCGTTCTACATCCCTGACAAGGGGGAAGCACGCCGAAAAATCTGGATGAACTTTCTCGGCCAATGCAAAGATCGAACACCCGACCTCCAGACTAGAGAGCCACCGTGGGGATCACGTGGCTAAGTGGGTAAGACGCTAGCTTGCTAGCCTGGAGGTCGGGTGTTCGATCCCTGCATTGGCCGAGAAAGTTCATCCAGATTTTCCGGCGTGGTTCTCCCTTGTCAGTGATGCAGGACGGAGGGGCTGACAAGGAAAGCTGTCTAGTCGTTCGGATGGGACGAAAAACCGAGGTCCCGTGTACACATTGGCGTGCACGTAAAAGATCCCTTGGCAGTTGGAATTCGATATAAGAGTAGGCCGTAGTGCCGCTGTCCGGGCAAAATTTCCCTCATAGCACACTGTATGGCGTATGCCCGTCTTCATTAGCCCAGGTTAGGAGCAGAACAGTAGGACGTTAAACCCCATTTCATTTCATTTCAGAGAGCCACCGTGACCCCCAGTCGGAGCAGAACAGTGGGGCGTTATAACACGCCAGAAAATCCCGAGGAACTTTCTCGGCCAACCTCATACATATAACTAAGATTTATATTTATATAAGTGTATTTATGTACTATCAAAGTGAAGGAAAACATTAGTCGACAAATAGGAAATATTATAAGAAATGGCGTATACCGATTTCGTGTATAATTTTATAATTGTTTGTATTTGATGTGTATGTTTGTAGACATCGACATTATAGCCTCGGGTGCGCATGTCAACTGCCAAGTTATGACGGATTGTTTTTAAATAAGTTACATAGTTGTATATCCAGGCTCTCTAATAGGCAAGGAAGGGCGTCTAGTTGTTTCATTCATTAAACCATAATGCGAATTTTTTAAACGGTGCAGTTGTAAGAATTTATCGCCCATGTCAACGTTGAAGATTAATAGGTCATAGGTCATATGCGGAACCCATGTCTTTTACGTGTATGTCAACGTATACAGGAGACCTCGATTTTTCGTCTCATTCGAACGACTGATACAGCTGTCCTGATCAGGGAAATTTTGCCCGGACAGCGACACTACGGCCTATCATATATCGAATTCTAAATCAAGGGATCACGGGTGTTCGTTTTTTTTGTCCCAGCTGCCCTAAAGACCCATACACGCGAGCGATTTATTGAGAACAATATTCCATACCTATGGCAGCAAATTTAATGTTCGCCCCCCCCCCTCTCTCTCTCTCTCTCTCTCTCTCTCTCTCTCTGTAACTATGTCAACGTCACAAGCTTGTGCTCTGTTTTATCCACGACGCCCTTTACTACTCATAGTTTGTAACAGGATATTAGATGGTTTAACTGGTGCGCGTTACATCATAAGGTCTGTCATTTGCGTGGTGTCGATTCCCCGCTTGTACGTGTCCAACCTCGTGGGTTTTTTTTCCGGGTCCTCTTGGTTTCCCCTCACAGCTAAATCCCCCTACGATTGTACGTGTCCAACCTCGTGAGATTTTTTCCGGGTCCTCTGGTTTCCCCTCTCAGCTAAATACCCCTACGATTGAACCATATGTTAGTCCCGAAATGACTTATGATCGAATGGACGTTAAACCCAATTTCTCTCTTTTAGAAACTGTGGTTTATTGGGATTGGGATACAATGATACACCTATCACCAACAATATAGCCTGCGGGGGGTAGATTACCTGTCATTGTTATAAATATAAAACTTATAAATCTTGACTCTTGTATCTCGTGTCTACAGGTATTATTATATATTTTACATTGTTCTTGAGTTATAAACTCATGACTGATGTATCGGGAACATGTCAATCAATCAATCATTGTGTCATAACGTTCAAAAACTTCCTTTTTATATAGCACATATAATACCGCAATCCATCGTCTTATTTCGCTTCGTTTCATTTGTGGGGATGGGAGCAAATGTGTAACAAGGAATTCATAGATATTTTTAAAACTTTTGAAGACATTAATTTGTGTATTTTAATGTTATTTTAGGACAAGTGTTAGCGTTAAAACTGTTATTATCACCATTTTAAAATGGCGACTTTAAGTTATTCCATGTTTGCGCCGCAGACGGACGAGGGGGATTATTACGTCAGTAAACAGAACACGAACAAAAAGACGGCGTGGAAATTAAACCGTTCTTTAATAGGTATAGGAATTCTGATGTGCTTTGCTTTAATAGTTGCTATAGTAACGTATACGATAAAGTATGAAGGATCAAGAGAACCACTAAATGTAAGTACCGATAGGCCTACATGTGACAATATATAGGCCTAATTGTCTTTTTGTAAGGGAGAATACAATGGTGGAAAAAGTAAAACCCGAGGGACGATATCAGACGTAAAAGATAATTAAGGCCGTAGTGCTATTTGAGCTAACTTTTTTGTTCCGTTGGTAGTTGGACTGGCAAAGAACGGTGTCTAGTCGTTCGGATGGGACGATCAATTTAGGTCCCATATACTGATTGGCATGTACCTAAAGAACCCTTGACAGCTGTCAAAATTTCTCTCTTGGCACGGGGATCACGTGGCTAAGTGGGTAAGACGCTAGCTCGCTAGCCTGGAGGTCGTGTGTTCGATCCCTGCATTGGCCGAGAAAGTTCATCCAGATTTTCCGGCGTGGTTCTCCCTTGTCAGTCATGCAGATCGGAGGGGCTGTCAAGGAAAGCTGTCTAGTCGTTCGGATGGGACGAAAAACCGAGGTCCCGTGTACACATTGGCGTGCACGTAAAAGATCCCTTGGCAGTTGGAATTCGATATAAGAGTACGCCGTAGTGCCGCTGTCCGGGCAAAATTTCCCTCATAGCACACTGTATGGCGTATGCCCGTCTTCATTAGCCCAGGTTAGGAGCAGAACAGTAGGACGTTAAACTCCATTTCATTTCATTTTCATTTCTCTCTTGGCACTCTGCGTGGCGTATGCGCGTTATCTTTTATTCTAGGTTCCTACTGTCATGCGATACGTTACGATAGGAGTGTCCTTATAGTGCCGACGATCTGGTGCGTACATATACGTTCGGATACGTTTCGATACGTTCAACACGATTGCTACGACTGGCATCAAAATATGATAAGACGTGATAGGATCACTACGATTACTCCACGATTTAAACCACGATTCCAATTGTTGCACGAATCATGATAATGGGAACATAGCATAACCCGGTTCGTGTAGGAAATTTGGGAGCTAAACCTAATTCCATTTCATATCAGCTTGCGTTGATTTGTTTTAAGTTGACGATATGAATGCAGCCGATGACATGAAATTATACGAAATCGTATCCAATACACCACTAAACCTAGGACTACTTTGCAATTTTTTTGCGGCACAACATAGTCTTACAACGTGCAATATATCGCAACGTTTGATGACAGCTATAAAAAATAATCGAACTATTGCGGGTGTTTTTTTTAAACTTCAAATGTTTCCTTGTCATAATGATGGATCTGACTACATGGATATTAACCTGTAAATATTTATATACTGTGAAGAGAGACAGAGACAGAGAGAGACAGAGAGAGAGAGAGATTTCGGGACTAACACATGGTTCAATATTATTTCAATAATTCACTAGCGCGTAGGGGTCTTTAGCAGTGGGCAGGCGACCCTACCACTTTTCTCGTACAAGCCGGGAATCGAAACCATGCAACTTGACTTTATTCGACCACCCAAACCCCCACGAAGAATTATGTATCCATGATACACCGATGGGTATGACGCTGTTTCGCCATTCGTCAAACCTCGGCAGATTCTACGAATCGGAATCTGCCGAGGTTTGCCGACTGGCTGACTCGCTAGCCTGGAGGTAGTGGGTTCGCTCCCGGTGTTGGCCGAGAAAGTTCATCGAGATTTGCCGAGTTGTGCAGGACGGAGGGTCTAACAAGGAAAGCTGTCTAGTCAATCGGATGTGGCGAAAAACCGGGGTCCCGTGTTCACATTGACGTGCACGTAAAAGATCCCACGGTAATTGGAGTTTTATATAAGAGTAGGCAGTAGCGCCTCTTCTGGGGAAAATTTCCCTCATAGCACACTTCATTCGCCCAGCCAGAGCAAAACAGTAGGACGTTAAATCCCATTTAGTTTCATTTTTGTTCGGGTAGGTCTAATGCTAGCACAAGAACTCTCACTGATTGAGTCAACTGTTGTGGTTTCGATTCTCGGGGATTGTTCGCGATAGAGGATAGGGTGACCTGTCAGGCATTGTAGGTTCCTCATGTACCGGAAAGAATTATTGAAAAGATACCATTTGTTAATCCCACAGGAAGATATTTCCTTTAGCTAAGTTGGAGCACAAATTTAGGGCATTAAACCCCATTTCATTTCAATTCGAAATGTTAAAATATAACCCAGACATCTCGAATCTGGTAAATTGATGAAATAATTTATATGTTTCATTTAGTTAACTTTTTGTAATTCTTAATTTTGTAGAAATCACGGAATCTGGGATTACCAATAATTGGCAAGACGATAAACAGCCAAACATCGACAAAGTCAACTATTAATGTTTCACAAGGAACTCCCAATTCACATAAAGTTTCACATAATCCAGGGTCCCATGTAAATGACGTCACCGCAGCCAATGGATATCTTCTATCATCGACGACGTCATTACCACCAATCACCAACAGCGCTCCAGTACAATTAAAAAATGAAAGGATTTATATAGATACGAAAAACCAGCTTCAAATGTTCCACATTCCTGGTCTTTTAACAGACACTTATATACTTCAAAATTACAAACTGGTTAGTTAAATCACATCGCATAATTCAAAAATCATTTTTTGTTCTAAAAGTTAAATTAATGGAGATATTTGCGTTTTTGCGACTACTTTGGAAATAAATTACCTGTAAAGAGATATTCGCCGCATCAGATGAAAAGAGGCTATCGTATGAATAACGTTATTAATATTATATTACAGGGTTATTAGATGACTGTAACGTTATTAATATTATAATTCAGGGCTATCAGATGAAAGTAACGTCATTAATGTTACTGTACCGGGCTATCATATAACTGTGATGTTATTAATGTTATATTACAGGTCTATCATATGATTGTAACGTTATTAATATTATATTACAATTAGCTGTAACGTTATTAATATTATATTACAGGGCTATAATATCACTGTAACGTCATTAATATTATATTTCAGGGCTATGTGATGACGGTAACGTTATTAAAGAGAATTAAAGGAAATCCAAGTAAAGTATTTTACTGTAAAACTACAGATATGGAATCAGTCTTACCGCCAAGAAATATCACGGTAGGTTATTTTATACATTTATATTTCTGTCAGAGCTTACCTCATCTTTACATAGTCATTGATGTATGATAAAGATAAAGAAACATTAGCTACTTTGATCTTTGTCGGTAGTTACAGAAAAAAAAAAAAAAAAAAATTGCTAGGATTTGACTGCCTAATTAATACGGAAGTTGTTCACGTTATTTTAAATACAAATTCTGAGAGTATATATATATATATATATACATACAGTGTATCTGTCCGTATGACACTTAGCATGTTTGTTCCTTGGACAATTGCGCATCGACTGACTGCGATGACGTCCACATAGAACGCTCGAATAGACTCTTGCATAGAAATGTATACACTTTGTTTGTCCCGGGACTGTTCCCGCGGGGTTTGCCTTGTTAGTGGTGCAGGACGAGCGGCCAGGCAAGGAACAGTGTCTCTCTCTCTCTCCCTCTCTCTCTCTCTCTCGAAGGCTCAGTGAGTAAGACGTTGGCTCGCTAACCTGGAGGTCCCGTGTTCGATCCTAGCGTTGACCGAGAAAGTTCATCAGGATTTTCCGTCGTGGTTCCATCTTGTCAGTGGTGCAGGACAGAGGGCCTGGTAAGCGACAATGTATAGCCGTTCAGATGGCACGAAACCCGAGGTCCCGTGTATACATCGGGGTGCACATAAAAGAACACTTGGCTGTTGGAATTCGATATAATGTCCATCATAGCTAGTGTATGGCGTATACTCGTGGTCATTAACCCAGACGGAGCAGAACTGTAGGGCGTTAAACCCCCATTTCATTTTATTTCATTTCTAATTGTCTGTATCCACCATTAATTATTTATATTACGTTTTATTTGAAACAGCTTATAGCCGACCATATGACTAAACTGGGATTTGATGTAATTCAACCACCACAGAGAATGCCAATATTTAATTATAGATCTTGTGACCATATTCCAGCATCACTTCTACTGAAATCAGGACCGTTCGTACCCATAAGATCAGGTATAGTTGTTATTTTTATTTAAATCAGGACCATTCGTACCCATAAGATGGCGTATAGTTGTTATATTTATTTAAATCAGGACCATTCGCACCTATAAGATCAGGTATACTTGTTATATTTATTTAAAGAAGCTAAAGCGCCAATATTTCGGACCAAGAAATTGACATACATGTGTCGTAACGCATATAATAATGTAATATGAATCGTTTCCGTTTTTACCCTAATTTCAAATCAGTTATGTTCTTCGAAATACGCCAGAAGTCTCATATACGAGAAGGCTGTAGCGCCCTCATAGCACACTGTATGGCGTATGCTGGTCTTCATTAGCACATTCGGTGCAGAGAAATGGCGCATTAAAAGCTATTTCATTTTCATTCCAAGAACATGTGATACCACTTCTCCTATCAGGTGTTCATAAAGCTAACAAAAGGTTGTTGATATACCAGTTCATATTGTGATATTAACAGGTAAAGAAGAAGGTTCAACGTGAACAGGAAGTCAGGACAAGAAGAACAATCATTGGACAGGACCACTACATGAACCAAACGCCCAATAATACAAAAAATGAAGTTATATTCAGGCTACGCCCATGTTGTTGATGCAAGATTTGTTGTAACAGCAGGGAGGGTATAGGCATGTTCTAGGCCAATTTTGATACTTAAGCTTTTATGAGCCATTTCTAGTTGGGTTGAGGGTGGGTCGCTTGATCATACTATTTTTTAGGTGACTTTTAAAATGATAAGTTTGTATAGATATCTTTATGTAACTGTTTAACAGATATAGTATAGTATCTTTGAAAGGCATTTAGTGAAAGCGATATATAATAAACAGACAGCTTTATGGATAATATTTACTAGGTTTATTAACTGCAACGTTTCAATGAGAATACCCTCACCGTTATCAATAAATCTAGTGAATGTTATCCATAAAGCTGTCTGTTTATTAGACATATAGAGAATCTCCTACCAGTATTTTTTGATATCAAAAAATATCAACACAAGTTGATAAAGTAACAAAAAACGAGGCTCTGCCGATTTTTTTTTTTTTTTACTTTATCAACTTGTGTTGATATTTTTTGATATCAAAAAAGACGAGTAGGAGATTTTATTTATCACCCAATCCCTTCTTACATGCACAAATAGATAAATATAATTCTTTGCTGTGGATTTCACTTTTACAGAACATTACGGCGTAGTGATACATCATTTTTTGATAACAATTCAACCATTGCAAAGTCCTTTATATTGACCCAGTGTTTCCATCAAGGTCAATTGAATAACAATAGTTCATTTTTAATTAAAAAAAAGTTACTTTTAATAAGAAATGAACTGTTCTTTGAAAATAAAAAAAGTAGTTAATTTTTAACTGACCAATCAAGTTTATGTAAAGCGATATCTCCTAAGGAGAATATGAAATTTATCACACAAGCGATGTAGAATGTATTATTGGGTGATAAAGTATACAAACATTTGTAACTGTGTAACATTTATATACACGTTTTTAATATTTATAATGTAAATAATGTTGACAAATAAATTATTTTAAAATATTTATCATTCAGATAACTTAATATTGACTTTGGTGTCAGAGGTTCACGAGGGGCTGGATGGCCGAATGGTTAGCACATGCGCGCTGTATCATAAGGTATGTCACTGAGTCAACTGGCGTGGTTTCAATTCCCCTTTTGTATATGACAAGGAGTAATGTCGCCTGTCCATCCTCGTAGGCTTTCTCCAGGTCCTCTGGTTTTCTTCCACTGCTAAAGACCCCCACGCACAAGCGAATTATTGAAATAAAATTGAACCATGTGTTAGTCCTGTGTCGAGTGGGCGTTAAACCCCATTTCCCACTCTCCCCAGAGGCACACTTTCCTGGTCAGCCCCGCCTGACGAGAGAGAGAGAGAGAGAGAGAGAGGATGGGGTTTAACATCCACTCACACAAACTAGGTCTTTTCGGGACAATATGGTTCAATTTTTTCATTAATTTACTTGCGCATAGTTTGGACAGGTGACCCTACCTCCTTGTCAAGTTCAAGCAGGGAAACGAAACCATGCCACTTGACTCAATGACAGACCTTGTGATTTCACGTTACTCGCGCATTTGTATCAAAACCTGCTAATTTTTTTAGATGTTACCAAAACATTTTCAAAACATGCATCATTGCAACAATTTCTCAGGCATTTAATTGTTGGAGGTAGCCCATTTATCACTTGCCATGCAGACATTTCCTAAGTGGAGGGAGGTAATTGGGGATTAACGCCCACTCAACACTAACTAAGATATTTCGGGACTAATACCTATAGTACAGATTTACTTCATTAATTCGCTAGCGGCAATTGTGTGTTGTGATCTTTAGCAGTGTGATGAACCGGAAACAAACCCCACGAAGTTAGACAGGCAACTCCACGCTTGACCATTGCCCCTCCTTCATTTTCTAAGGCGGCTGGTGTTGCGAAAACCTTGGGGGAATGGGCGAATAACTCGAACTGCTGTGGACGTAGGTGTCTGGCAACACATTATCGGCTTGAAAATATAGTTAAAGGACAGAATTGGTGTCAAACATTATTACATATGTGGTATAATTGCTACGATAGATGCGTAATGAAGATTTCAAGAAACGGAAGTGACGAAAGCAAAAAGAAACGAAAACAGTTATCCTTCTATATATAAAACTGACTGAAGTGACGAGTGATAACAGATACATGCGCCAATTTCTACTCACTAACAATTTCTTCGAAAACCAAAAGTAATGTGAGGCTGTGAGATGATATCTGATAATTCAGAAAAGAAATTGAATGTCACAAGATACCAGAAAACGAGAAAAGTAGAAATAGTCCGTACATTCCCTTGTTTTTATTCATTCTATACTTTATAAAACATTGTAATGCACGGACTTTTTCTATTTATTTCGTTTTCTCTTATCTGGTGACATTCAATTATTTTTTTGAATTGTCAGATATCCTCTCGATCTCACACAACAACTTTTGGTTTTCGAAGGAATTGTTAGTGAGCAGAAATTCGCCGGTGTATATGTTATCACTCGTCACTTCAGTGAGTTATATAAACGGGTAACTCGTGTTTTCCTCTTGCTTTCGCCACTTCTTGGAATCTTCATTACGCATCTATCGTAGCCATGATCTCTGTGTTAAAATTATATTTGGAACAGAGAGAGAGAGAGAAATGGGGTTTAACGTCCATTCGACACAAACTAGGTCATTTCGGGACTAACATATGGTTTAATTTTATTTCATCCCCCAATATTTGGAACATGTTTAACCAGTTCTATCACATATGTGATAATGACTGACACCAATATTGTCCTTTAAACATAATTTGAAATAATGACTTGTAAATGGCATGAACAACAGAATTGTGAGAGAAGGATTTTAATCAGTTAAACTACAGGTGTTCAACAGGTAGGTCTCTCAGCATATAAATTCTGGTCTATGTGCTGGTCGTCAACTCGCCAAATTTGTTCATATATTCTGTCATAGTTAAGAACTTATCCTTGTCGTCATCCGCTTCGTTAAACATAATCAGAAAATTTTCTACTGGGCAGCCACCATTGGCATTAGTGCAATAAGCAGTTACATCAACGTTACGGATAGGTCTGAAACCATTCAATTCCTTGGTCGTAAGATTGCCGTTCTTGTCGTAATCTGCCACACGAAATTCCGATCTGAATTCGTGTTCAGAGACTTTCAAATTATCATCGATATCCATGACCAAGTAATTATTTCTGGCTCTAACAAAAGCTTTAACCGTGATGCCACTTTTTTCTGATTCTATCTTGGTGAGGCAATATTCCAAATATTCTCCAAGATCTATGTCGTTTCCATATTCTCGTGAAAGCTCAAAAAAGAAGAGTTCAACGTCGGTCAATGTTATCTTCCCGTCACCATTGGCATCATGTACTTTAAGAAGCCGTAATGGAAAATCTTCACCCACCGAATCACCGACTATTTCCGTCTGACTTAACTCTCCATCACCATTGATATCTATTCTGACAAAGTGATCTCTATAGTCTGTATATTCTATCTCACCATCATCATCTAAATCAGTAAGATCAAAGCCCAAAGTTAAATCCATTAAAGTTGATATATTGGCAAGTTGAGGCGATGACGTAGCTGAAACATATAAAACAAATCTTATGAGTACAGTTTTGATATGGGACTAGTAGCTTATAAACACGGAAGTTAAATGAAATTGGGTTCAACGTCAAACGTGCTTCCCTAAATGGAATAGTGAAGAGAGAGAGAGAGAGAGAGAGAGAGAGAGGTTTAACGTCCACCCGACACAGACTAGGTCATTTCAGGACTAACATTTTTTTTAAATTTTATTTCAATAATTCGCTAGCGCGTAGGGGTCTTTAGCAGTGGGAGGAAACAGGAGGACCCGGAGAAAACCCACGAGGCTGGAAGACAGGTATAGCTTGCAGAGTGTTATGCAGGAAAAATTGTCCGGACGGCGACACCATCCAACAGTTAATGTCGTTATCAGCTACCCGAAATTTCTACCTGCATTCTTTTTCATCGATATCAATGATCAAGTAATTACTTCTGGTTCTAACAAAAGCTTTAAACGCGATGCCACCATTTTTATTTTATTTTTTTTTAAAGATTTTCTAGGAAAAATAAAATCGTGTCATACGTCTTGTATCCTTCTTCCGCTACTGAATGTAAGTTCATTTGATATAATGTTATATTATATTGGGAGGATAGCCTAAAGGTCTAACGCGTGCGTTTTAGATCATACGGGTTGACATTTAGACAAGCGGTAGAGTTGTCTGTCCAACCTCGTAGGTTTTCTCCGCGTCATCCGGTTTCCTCCAACTGCTAAAGACCTCTACGAGAAATAAAATTTCACCACATGTTTATCCTGAAATAACCTAGTCTGTGGCGAGCAAAGTAATCCATAAACAGCAAACGTTTGGGGCTAAACAGGAAATTTTTTTTTTATCCAGATATAATTCAAACACCTTTATTTATTTTTCTATTACTTCCAAAAATGTTCTAGAAATAAATTTGCAGAAGGAAAAAAGTTAATATTGCGAGATCATTAACCCGCACCGATATCATCTCTCACAATGATTTTAATCGCCTTTCAAAGCGCATTCTAAAACATAACAATTTACACAGTGAAAAGGATGGCATATTTTTAACGCGCTTTATAAAATATAAAAAATAAATTAAAATTGTTATAGATAATAAAACTACATAGGCGGAAAACTTCAGTAAAACTGCAATAAGATACGCGCTTTACAAAATATAAAAAAATAAAATAAGATTTTTACAGATAATAAAACTACATAAGAGGAAACTTCAGTAAAACTGTAATAAGATATGTAAAAGAGTAACTATAAAAACAATAAAAACATGACGACAAAAAGTTTAACTTCCCAAATTGCGGCGGAAAAGGCGGGTTTTGATGAGTTTTTTGAAAGTTTCAATGTTCATCACGGCTATAATTTCGCATGGTAGTCCATTCCATAAGATAGGGGCGTATCATGAGAATTTATTGTTAGCTCGACCTTTGGGGTAGGCAAGTGGTGGTGCTTGGGTAAAACGGGTGACTTTTTTCAAACATAGAAAATAGAACTGCGATGTGCATCAACAACAGCTGTGTGACTAAAAACCCACTTAAAAAGGTGGTAAAGAATTAATACGGCTATATAGCTAAATATATTTACCTGCTGATGCCGTGTCTATTAGAATAAACAATATCGAAACCATATAACCCTTCATGATGAACGTTTAATTGTATCTAAACACTGGTTGATGAAATAAGCGCAGTTCTATGAGCAGTTTAAGTCAAACTAAGATATGTCTATCAGTGTAAGGATTATAAAGGCAATGCTGCTTATCACTTGAAAATATCAATTATTCTATTATTAATAAATGAACTATCTTTTTG